CGGCCGAGTTTCTAGCAGACGGCAGGCCATTTCTTCAAGGTCGGCTGCCGTGGGTTTGGAAGATACCTTTGGCGAGCGCGCATCAGGTTCGTCGATGGTAAAAGTAGGGGTCGTTGTTGTGCACGTTTTGGCGTCACTGTTCAGAGGCCAGTGGACTGCCAAGTTAGCATGGAGTCTCAGGAACTACCGCCGCTACTCGACAGGATGTCGACGCCGTCTGTGGCAGTCCATCCAGTACTCGAGAAACATGGCCGTAATGGTGATCCCATGGTTAGCCAGCCATGCGAGAAGCCTGGAGAATGTGCTGTTCACAACTCTTCGTCTTGCACCAGTCGAATTTTCCGTGGCCCGAACTGAAGCATCACAGTTGCCCGCATTCAAGGCTTTCGCTTCTGGCTGCCTTGCCTGCACCGTTAGTTGGCGCTGCAGTCGCCGGCAGGACCCTGGATGCCCATATGCAAGACTGAAGAACTCTCCTGTGCCTCCCTCGTCCATGGCTAATACGGCATCCCGTTGAGGCCGGAAGGTCATCGAAAGCGAGGAGGTATTGAGTAGGCATGCCCTCTGGCCATCGCGACGCGAACGAGACAAAGCCACCCCCGGCCTGCACGAGAACGTCGTGCAAGCCATCAGACAGGTCCCTCTCGCTGGGCCCGCCAGGGTCGAACAGCATGTCCAGAGGTATGGGCATGCGCACCGGCGGGGCACGAGAGTCTCGGGGGTATTTGGCCAAGACTGCGCAAGCGAAACAGGTAGGTTGCCACATTCCCCAGCGGGCCGGCTTCTGACTTTGTCCCCCCCCCCCCCCCGTTCCGACTTGACAGTCTCGTTCGGACGGCATGCGCATGGCGGGCAGCGCGCCAAGTAGGGCGCAACGCGACTGCCGAGAAGCTTGGCCGCGGGAGACAGTGTGGGCGCTCATGAGTTTGCTTCGGCTTTCGAGGGGGTGGCTTGTCGGATGTGGTTGAGACATGTTGCTAGGTAGGGGTTGGGCTCACATCGTCCTTGGATGGTGGTGGAGGCCGCCGTGTTTGTGCCCATCAGGACGGTTGGAATGGGGCGGAATGATTGTACAGCATGCTGAGGCCGCGGCGATAGGCCTGCTCAGCAGAGTTCGCGTGGTCGTGCGACTGCGATGGCATCATGGTCATTATGCGCTGGACAATGGCAGGCCCGTCGGCTTCATGACTGAGATGTTGTGGCGGGGGCGAGAGACGCTGGAAGCAAGGCGCCCGTGGCGGGCCATGTGCGGCCGAGGAAAATGGGGAGCGTGCAGGGAGGGCACGCAGCCCCCTCCCTTCCTGAGAGCGCGCTGCGCCGGGGTCTGCTGAAAGAGGACGGATCGCCGTGGCGTCGCACCATCATGTTTCCTCCCATCTTTGTCTGGGCATTGCTGTGCAGCTAGAGTCTGCGTTTGTACAAGTTGCGTGTCATATTGATGCTAAAAAGAGGCTGCGACACGTGCGCGATGCCTAGCGCTGCCTCTTTGCAGTGGAGTGGCATCAAAGAAGCGCTGGTTCCCCGATTGAAGGTAGGGTACGCATCTCTCTGCTCCGCCGCAACGCTGTTCTGTGGGAATAGCTTCACGTCAGGGGCATCCGTCAAAGCTGGGGGGGGGCGGCCACTGTACACGGCTGACTACCTGAAGGCTGCACCAGGAGAGGACGCAAGGGAGAGAGAGATCCCAGCTGAGCCCCACGTGACAGAACAAGCATTGCTGTCAGGTTCCTCCCTTATCTAGTGGTCCCTGTCGACGGCCACAGCGCGGGGTCGTGTTGTCGTTCCCCTTGCATGCTCTGGGCCCCGGGACCAGACTCGTCATGTCTCCTAATAAGAAAGCTCGTATAGGGCTCGTCGTCGTGCATCCATCCAGTTTGGCATGGTCCTCTGCCTGCGACACATGGGGTCGGTCGACAGGAAATTGCTCATGGAAGCGAAATCTGCCGTGTGGCTGCATGAACCGCGCAACGCCACAGACCAAAAACGCGCGCGCCCATGCCGTGCGGCGGCTCAGGGGGGTCAAGATCGACGAAACGCATGAGGCGAGGGGCCAGCTCGTCGTCGTCGTCGTCGGGGGTCCGGCACGTTCCATGAGCAAAAGAACGGCGCAGTCGAATCGAGATTCGGTGCGTGGCGCAGGTCGCAACGAAGAGTAGGCAGCAGCATTTCGGGGACGGTCGCGACGATCTGTTCCCCGTGCAGGCGCTGGGATGCACGATGCGACAGTGATCGAGGGCAAGAGAGACAAAATGGGAGAAGAAT